AATGGGGTTTAACGTCGCGTCCAAGATTATTGCACTTATATAGCGACGTGCATGTACGTGTGTGTGTTTGTGTGGCTGCTTGTACTAGTCCGGACTGATGCCGATTTATACTGCTAGCTCACTCAGATACCATGCTGCAGTTTAACATGAATACCCCACTCAGACACAGTATACTGACTCCGAGCCGACCAGTCCTAGTTTTAGCCCCTTATTGCCGAGCGCCAGACAGGGTAACAACAAGTACCATCTTTTAACGTCTTTTGGTATGACGCGGCCGGGGATCGAACCCCGGACCTTCCGCTCTCCGGGCGGACGCTCTACCACAAGACCACGGAGGCGGTCTGAACATTTAAAGAATACAATGGTGTGGTTTCGACTCTGACATTATGAACAAATGATTTGTGATCGTTTTGTTCATTCCTTAAATTCTGCACATCCCGCGAGCCCGCCCATACCATGGCGTGGCCTGTAAAACACTCAGTGAAATAGATACATACCATATTGACCATAGGGGCACGGACACCCCGCAGTGTTTAATGTCCTTCCTGGTCAGCTTTACCCCGACTCACTCACTCACTCACTCACTCCGCCCCAACTCACCCATTCAGTCACTCACTCACTCAAACCCCACTCACTCATTCAGTCACTCACTCACTCACTCACTCAAACCCCACTCACTCGCTTTAAAACACTGATAAAACCGTGCGGCGTGTCATTTGTTGACAGTGGTAGATAGGGGCAGATAGTGGTTATACAGTGGTAGATAGGGGCAGATAGTGGTTATACAGTGGTAGATAGTGGTTATACAGTGGTAGATAGGGGTAAATAGTGGTTATACAGTGGTAGATAGTGGTTATACAGTGGTAGATAGGGGTAGATAGTGGTTATACAATGGTAGATAGGGGCAGATAGTGGTTATACAGTGGTAGATAGTGGTTATACAGTGGTAGATAGGGGTAGATAGTGGTTATACAGTGGGAGATAGTGGTTATACAGTGGGAGATAGTGGTTATACAGTGGTAGACAGGGGCAAATAGTGGTTATACAGTGGTAGATAGGGGTAGATAGTGGTTATACAGTGGTAGATAGGGGCAGATAGTGGTTATACAGTGGTAGATAGGGGTTATACAGTGGTAGATAGGGGTAGATAGTGGTTATACAGTGGTAGATAGGGGCAGATAGTGTTTATACAGTGGTAGATAGGGGTTATACAGTGGTAGATAGGGGCAGAAAGTGGTTATACAGTGGTAGATAGTGGTTATACAGTGGTAGATAGGGGCAGATAGTGTTTATACAATGCAAGATAGGGGTAGATAGTAATTATACAGTGGTAGATAGTGGTTATACAGTGGTAGATAGTGGTATACAGTGGTAGATAGGGGTAGATAGGGGTTATACAGTGGAAGATAGGGGCAGATAGTGGTTATACAGTGGTAGATAGTGGTTATACAGTGGTAGATAGTGGTTATACAGTGGTAGATAGGGGTAGATAGTGGTTAAACAGTGGGAGATAGTGGTTATACAGTGGAAGATAGGGGTAGATAGTGGTTATACAGTGGTAGATAGGGGTAGATAGTGGTTAAACAGTGGGAGATAGTGGTTATACAGTGGTAGATAGGGGCAGATGGCGGTTATACAGTGGAAGATAGTGGTTATACAGTGGCAGATAGGGGTAGATAGTTGTAGATAGAGGTTATATAGTGGTAGATAGTTGTCGGTAGTGCTTATATTGTGGTAGAGAGTGGTTATATAGTGGTAGTGGTGGTAGATAGCCGTAGATAGTGGTTGATAGTGGTAGATAGGTGTAGTGGTAGATAGGTGTAGATAGTGGTCGATAGGTGTAGATAGTGGTAGATATGTGTAGATAGTGGTAGATAGGTGTAGATAGGTGTAGATAGTGGTAGATAGGTGTAGATAGTGGTAGATAGGTGTAGATAGTGGTAGATAGGTGTAGATAGTGGTAGATAGGTGTAGATAGTGGTAGACAGTGGTAGATAGGTGTAGATAGTGGTAGGTAGGTGTAGATAGTGGTTGATAGGTGTAGATAGTGGTAGATAGGTGTAGACAGTGGTAGATAGGTGTAGATAGTGGTAGATAGGTGTAGATAGTGGTAGATAGGTGAAGATAGTGGTAGATAGTGGTAGATAGGTGTAGATAGTGGTAGATAGGTGTAGATAGGTGTAGATAGTGGTATATAGGTGTAGATAGTGGTAAATAGGTGTAGATAGTGGTAGATAGGTGTAGATAGTGGTAGACAGTGGTAGATAGGTGTAGTGGTAGATAGGTGTAGTGGTAGATAGGTGTAGATAGTGGTAGATAGGTGTAGATAGTGGTAGATAGTGGTAGATAGGTGTAGATAGTGGTAGACAGTGGTAGATAGGTGTAGATAGTGGTAGGTAGGTGTAGATAGTGGTTGATAGGTGTAGATAGTGGTAGATAGGTGTAGACAGTGGTAGATAGGTGTAGATAGTGGTAGATAGGTGTAGATAGTGGTAGATAGGTGTAGATAGTGGTAGATAGGTGAAGATAGTGGTAGATAGTGGTAGATAGGTGTAGATAGGTGTAGATAGTGGTATATAGGTGTAGATAGTGGTAAATAGGTGTAGATAGTGGTAGATAGGTGTAGATAGTGGTAGATAGGTGTAGTGGTAGATAGGTGTAGATAGTGGTAGACAGTGGTAGATAGGTGTAGTGGTAGTTAATGGTAGATAGTGGTAGATAGGTGTAGATAGTGGTAGATAGGTGTAGATAGTGGTAGATAGGTGTAGATAGTGGTAGATAGGTGTAGATAGTGGTAGATAGGTGTAGATAGTGGTAGATAGGTGTAGATAGTGGTAGATAGGTGTAGATAGTGGTAGATAGGTGTAGACAGTGGTAGATAGGTGTAGATAGTGGTAGTTAATGGTAGATAGTAGAAGATAGTGGTATGTATATGTGGGAGTTCGGGGTAGATGAATATAAAGAAGGTGAGGGGCAGCAGCAGGTAGACACCTGGATACCAGGAATTGTCCCCAGCAGGACAGGTGTGTCTTGATGAAGCAACCCGTGAAGATCAGGGGAAGAAAAGTTCTTCAACGACCCATGCAGCCCTAAAAGGCGACTAACGGGATCGGGTGGTCAGGCTCTCTGACTTGATTGATGCTTGTCATCGATCCCAAATGCGTGGATCTATGTTCATGATATCAATCACTGGATTGTCTGGTCCAGACTCGATTATTTACAGACCGCCGTCATATAGCTGGAAATATTGCTGAGTGCGGCGTAAAACAACCAACCAACAACCAAAGCATTACAAACGTTATCAAAACGTTATCAGGCTTAAAACAGTCGCCGAATTAACAACTTCTACATCGTCAATACTGAATCATCCCTACAATAAGTAAATATATGATCTGACAATTTTCTATAAAAGAGAATATTTATTTAGTATTGTATATCTATATTTCCCCAAATAAGCCCTCAGTTTTAAACATCACGTATTCCGCCAGTCAGTCAACATCCCAGAACTGACGCAACACAGGTGTCGCATACTAGTCGCAAAATAACCTCAGGAACAAATACCCTTGCACGCCCCCTCCCTCAACAACAGACGCTTCATCGACCTTCCTGAAACACCTAACGACCTCGCCACACACGACAACTATCACTACAACCCTCCTGGTTGCTATACCAACAGATCTTAATTAAAAATATTCCTTTACCTCCAAAAATGGAATACGTCGATAACAGTCGAGGAACAAGTACTCCATGACGTCACATTGAAGCTAACTTTGGCCGATCTTTATATGCTGAGCCATTGTGACGTCATGCTGGCGTGACGTCACGATGGGTCGATATATCGGGACACGCTCTAGTCGCGGGAGCTATTCATAGACAAGTCCAATAACAATATACTCACAACAAACCCGCATTTACAAGAAAGGGTAGAATAATTATTATTTCATCACATCCTCCGTTATTCAACCCCTCCCTCCTCAACCCCTCAAAACACCCCACCCCCATCTCCCCAGCCCCAACCCCTACCTTTACCTATACATATATGCATTCCGTTGACAGATGCTCTGATCGTGCTGTCTCGCTGTAGCTATAACATCTTGAGTTTATTTTTAACCTGCCACCAAGTTGCACTGATTCAGTCGAAGAACTATGCACAGACCCCAAACGAAGTCTGGTCTGGTTAGCGTTCAGTCCAGCGCATGGTGTTTGGTGACGTCACTCTAGTTAATTCTGTTGTCGGTGAGGTGCTGTCTTGCACCCCACACTTTAGGCACGGAAATCGATGTAATAACAAATCTGTTTTCCACTATCAAATTGTCATAGATCGCGTGAAGTATTTAGTCGGAAAGTGATTCTGATGTTGAGAATAGGGCTTGTAATTTAATTTTGGGGGAAAAGTTCAGAACTGGTATGTAACGTTTAAATGGTGAATTCGATTAAATCTTGAATGAAATTTAGGTGTATGCTGGTTGCTTAATTGATATTTCAAAATAATGTAAATCATAATGATTTAATTGAAAAGCAATATTATCCTCTTTTATTGTTATGTGTATAATAGCAAAAACATGCTATTTATGTAAAAAAAATTTTTTTATTTACGCAACATTCTAAAAATATATAATAGTTTCTAAGACTTAAAAACCGAAATTACGTGTTCAATATTGAACGACAAATGCATATTCGCATGAGGCGTCTTACTAAGTTGAAAAGCCTGCGTGCATGTTTCACGGTGTATTTCGCCCGTGGATAAGTCTAATGTTTATACATATGCGAACTCTGACACATATCCGCCAGTGGCGACAATACTGCACGAAGACGAAATATGCAATTCATGCGCCCCTATTAAGTCCTTATTTCAAAGGATAAACACACGCTCATGTATTGACACATAGTCTTGTTTTGACAGTAAATTTACGTGGCCTGGAATTGCCTCAACATAGCAACCAGCAAATACGAAACTCGGCCTGCGAATTCGATATTGAGTTGTTTTGACGTCACAGCTACGTCACAGAGGATTTAGGCTGCTAGCGCCATGCAAGTTGTGATTGAGTGAAAGATGTCGGCTTGTAAAGGTAGAACAGTTCTTCACACTCGCTTTAAAACTATGTGGAGTAAAGAAATATGCAGCTTTATCCTCTGACACGGAGATATGGTCATGGCCGACCGAGCCAAGGGGCAGATCCGGGTAGGATTTTACGATATCGAACGCACGATCGGAAAAGGCAATTTCGCTGTTGTAAAACTAGCGAAACACCGAATCACCAAAACTGAGGTTTGTGCTGTTTCGTTGAAAAAAAGTGAAATTATTAAGTGTTGTATTGTGTCCAGGTGTATGTGTTACCGAACAGTGTGGGCAGGTGCTTGTTGAGATTACACTAACCAGATGGCAACCTTCCTTCCTTCGTCTTGATGGATACAAAGAAGAAAAGAGGATAGAAGGAAGGTGAAAATGTGTGGGGGACAGGTTGGCGAATACCGGTATCAAAACAGGCCTTACCTAACACAACATTCTAGATGTTTACAACTTCTCATGTTATACTTGAAATGTTTGTTTATGTTTTTGAATACACAGCATGTAGTGTGAGACCAGCTCTTCCTGGTGTCCAGTTATCGTGTCTGCCACTACGAGTAACAAGTTTATTCCTTTATGCAAACATTTTTGGCATGTTTGATTTTCGAGTGTCTGTTGAGAAACATGTTTTGGTTGTTTGTTTGACAATTTGGTTTCTTAGACCCAAGGTATTTGTTCTCGGAGTTGGTGTAAATATTAAGAATAATTAAGGGTTTGGAGTTTGGAGTTTTCACTGCTTTTTGGGTGTTATTTTTTTACATATAAATAAGTGAATAACACAACCCGTCAACACAGTCCTAAACCCCTGTTTTCGTATTCCCCATCCCACACTGGTGTCATTTCTTTGTTTGATACTTTTGGTGTATAAAGGCAGTATTCACTGACTATACAGTATATTAAATAACTCTACCCATCCCCCCAGCGATAGTTCTTAACTACCCCCGTCATATCCCCCATCCAATCACACGAGAGTAATTTGTGTGCATGATACTTGTGTATAAAGTCAGTATTCACTGACTATACTGTATAATAACTAACACAATCATGTGTGTGTTTGTATCAGAGCTACAGATAAGCTGCGTATTTGCATAAAATACCCCCCCAAAATATTCAAACCCAAATACTTTCATTTAACATGCGTACTGAAGCGCATGCATTAAATGAAAAACTGAAATGTTTAAAAACAGCATGCGTAAAAACCCGATGAAGATTTTCCAGCATGCGTACAACATGTACAAAGGAGCTAATTTCCGAAGCAGAATTATGAGCTAATTTACTCTCCGAGTCACGCCTATATATTTAGAACAGTTATCATGGTTATATACATCTAAAACATTATTTCATTTTTTTTAAATCTTAAAATGTTCACTCTTTGGTGGAAAAACCCAATAGAGTTATGAAAAGATGAGTGAAAAAATATTGGTTATCCAATGAAAAATGTAATAACCAAATTAATAGAAACCCTAGAATGAAAACTCATTTGCTCAAAAAGTTATCTGGAGCTCAGTTGTATGCAGCATTTATTAACTGTACAGGTGTTTATTCATACAAAACATGGGTAATTATTCAGAATATACAATTTGCCATGCTGGTTAATGTGTGTGTATTGTGTATGGTTGGTTGGTTTGTTGTTTAACACAGCACTCAGCAATATTCCAGCTATCTGACGGCGGTCTGTAAATAATCGAGTCAGGACCAGACAATCCAGTGATTAATATCATGAGCATCCATCCATGCAGTTGGGATTGATGACATGCATCAACCAAGTCAGCGAGCCTGACCACCCGATGCTGTTAGTCACCTCTTACGGCAAGCATGGGTTGCTGAAGACCTATTCAACCCCGGATCTTCTCGGGCCGAGTGTATTGGGTAGGGGGGTCCTCTCCTCCCCTACCTCCAGTTTAAAGTCAAGATAAGGGTCAGGAATGCCTTGGTGTTGTTTTGTGTTGAGAATTGGTTCCCAGCAACCTGTCACTCATCAACTATAGTAGAATATTGACGTGTCTGATATACCCGTGTCAACTAACCACTTATGCTCTACTGGTTGTGCATACTTTGTTGCCATATCGCTGTGCAAGACTTTCATACTTGTTTATGGCCGCACTCAGCAATATTCAAGCCATATGACAGCGGTCTGTAAATAATCGAGACTGGACCAGACAGTCCAGTGATTGACATCATGAGCATCGATCCAGGCAATTGGGATATGATGACATACGTGAACCATCTCAGAGAGCCTGACTACCCGATCCCGTTAGTCGCCTCTTACGACAAGCATTGTCACCATTTACGGCAAGCATGGGTTGCTGAAGACCTGTTTTAACCCGGATCTTCACGGGTCTCATCTATACTCTTTCGATCTATTGGCAGTATACTGTCACAATGATGTAGATTCATCGATTCTTTGTTTGTTTGTTTGTTGTTTAACACCACAGTCAGCTATATGACGGCGCCCGGTATGTAAATATGTAAATAATCAAGTCTGGACCAGACAATCCAGTGACTGACATCATGAGCATTGATCCACACAACTGGACATGCATCCACCAAGTCAGCAAGCCTGACCACCAGATCCAATTATATTGTTATCATCATGTTGTGTAAGAGATTCTTCTATACTGTCTGGATCTATTGGTGGTATATTGTTACCATGACCCTGTGTAAAAGATTCATCTATCTGTCTGGATATATTGGTGGCATATTGTTAACCTCCTTCTGTGTAAGAGATTCATCTTCACTGCCTGGATCTATTGGTTATATATTATTACCATCACCCCGTGTAAGAGATTCATCTATACTGTCGGATCTATTGGTTGTATATTGTTACCATCACCCCGTGTAAGAGATTCATCTATACTGTCGGATCTATTGGTTGTATATTGTTACCATCACCCTGTGTAAGAGATTCATCTATACTGTCTGGATGCATTGGTTGTATATTGTTACCATCCTTCTGTGTAAGAGATTCATCTTCACTGCCTGGATCTATTGGTGGTATATTGTTACCATCCTTCTTTGTAGGAGATTCATCTACACTGCCTGGATGCATTGGTTGTATATTGTTACCATCCTTCTGTGTAAGAGATTCATCTATACTGTCTGGACGTATTGGTTGTATATTGTTAATAGCACACTGTGTAAGAGATTCATCTATACTGTCTGGATGTATTGGTTGTATATTGTTACCATCACCCTGTGTAAGAGATTCATCTATACTGTCTGGACGTATTGGTGGTATATTGTTACCATCATGTTGTGTAAGAGATTCATCTATACTGTCTGGACGTATTGGTGGTATATTGTTACCATCCCTCAGTGTAAGAGATTCATCTATACTGTCTGGACGTATTGGTGGTATATTGTTACCATCCCTCAGTGTTAGAGATTCATCTATACTGTCCGGATGTATTGGTGGTATATTGTTACCATCTGTTGTGTAAGAGATTCATCTATACTGTCTGGATTTATTGGTTGTACATTGTTACCATCACCCCGTGTAAGAGATTCATCTATACTGTCTGGATGCATTGGTTGTATATTGTTACCATCACCCTGTGTAAGAGATTCATCTATACCGTCTGGACGTATTGGTTGTATATTGTTACCATCACCCTGTGTAAGAGATTCATCTATACTGTCTGGACGTATTGGTTGTATATTGTTACCATCACCCTGTGTAAGAGATTCATCTATACTGTCTGGATGTATTGGTTGTATAGTGTTAGCATCACCCTGTGTAAGAGATTCAACTATACTGTCGGATCTATTGGTTGTATATTATTACCATCACCCTGTGTAAGAGATTCATCTATACTGTCTGGATCTATTGGTTGTATATTGTTACCATCACCCTGTGTAAGAGATTCATCTATACTGTCTGGAGCTATTGGTTGTATATTATTACCATCACCCTGTGTAAGAGATTCATCTATACTGTCTGGAGCTATTGGTTGTATATTGTTACCATCAACCTGTGTAAGAGATTCATCTATACTGTCTGGATGTATTGGTTGTATATTGTTACCATCACCCTGTGTAAGAGATTCAACTATACTGTCGGATCTATTGGTTGTATATTGTTACCATCACCCTGTGTAAGAGATTCATCTATACTGTCTGGAATTATTGGTTGTATATTGTTACCATCACCCTGTGTAAGAGATTCATCTATACTGTCTGGATGTATTGGTTGTATATTGTTACCATCACCCTGTGTAAGAGATTCAACTATACTGTCGGATCTATTGGTTATATATTGTTACCATCACCCTGTATAAGAGATTCATCTATACTGTCTGGATCTATTGGTTATACATTGTTACCATCACCCTGTGTAAGAGATTCATCTATACTGTCTGGATGTATTGGTTGTACATTGTTACCATCATGTTGTGTAAGAGATTCATCTATACTGTCTGGATCTATTGGTTGTATATTGTTACCATCACCCCGTGTAAGAGATTCATCTATACCGTCTGGACCTATTGGTTGTATATTGTTACCATCACCCTGTGTAAGAGATTCATCTATACTGTCTGGATCTATTGGTTGTATATTGTTACCATCCCTCAGTGTAAGAGATTCATCTTCACTGCCAGGATCTATTGGTTGTATATTGTTACCATCACCCTGTGTAAGAGATTCATCTATACTGTCTGGACGTATTGGTTGTATATTGTTACCATCACCCTGTGTAAGAGATTGATCTATACTGTCTGGACGTATTGGTTGTATATTGTTACCATCACCCTGTGTAAGAGATTCATCTATACTGTCTGGATGTATTGGTTGTATATTGTTACCATCACCCCGTGTAAGAGATTCATCTATACTGTCTGGATCTATTGGTTGTATATTGTTACCATCATGTTGTGTAAGAGATTGATCTATACTGTCTGGATCCATTGGTTGTATATTGTTACCATCACCCTGTGTAAGAGATTGATCTATACTGTCTGGATGTATTGGTTGTATATTGTTACCATCACCCTGTGTAAGAGATTCAACTATACTGTCGGATCTATTGGTTGTATATTGTTATCATCACCCTGTGTAAGAGATTCATCTATACTGTCTGGATCTATTGGTTGTATATTATTACCATCCCTCAGTGTAAGAGATTCATCTGTGCTGTCTGGATGTATTGGTTGTATATTGTTACCATCAACCTGTGTAAGAGATTCATCTATACTGTCTGGATCTATTGGTTGTATATTGTTACCATCCCTCAGTGTAAGAGATTCATCTTCACTGCCAGGATCTATTGGTTGTATATTGTTACCATCACCCTGTGTAAGAGATTCATCTATACTGTCTGGACGTATTGGTTGTATATTGTTACCATCACCCTGTGTAAGAGATTCATCTATACTGTCTGGATGTATTGGTTGTATATTGTTACCATCACCCTGTGTAAGAGATTGATCTATACTGTCTGGACGTATTGGTTGTATATTGTTACCATCACCCTGTGTAAGAGATTCATCTATACTGTCTGGATCTATTGGTTGTATATTATTACCATCACCCTGTGTAAGAGATTCATCTATACTGTCTGGATCTATTGGTGGTATATTGTTACCATCACCCTGTGTAAGAGATTCATCTATACTGTCTGGATGTATTGGTTGTATATTGTTACCATCACCCTGTGTAAGAGATTCATCTATACTGTCTGGATCTATTGGTTGTATATTGTTACCATCCCTCAGTGTAAGAGATTCATCTATTCTGTCTGGATGTATTGGTTGTATATTGTTACCATCATGTTGTGTAAGAGATTGATCTATACTGTCTGGATCTATTGGTTGTATATTGTTACCATCATCTTGTGTAAGAGATTCATCTATACTGTCTGGACGTATTGGTTGTATATTGTTAATAGCACCCTGTGTAAGAGATTGATCTATACTGTCTGGATGTATTGGTTGTATATTGTTATCATCACCCTGTGTAAGAGATTCATCTATACTGTCTGGATGTATTGGTTGTATATTGTTACCATCCCTCAGTGTAAGAGATTCATCTATACTGTCTGGATGTATTGGTTGTATATTGTTACCATCCCTCAGTGTAAGAGATTCATCTATACTGTCTGGATGTATCGGTTGTGTATTGTTACCATCATGTTTTGTAAGAGATTGATCTATACTGTCTGGATCTATTGGTTGTACATTGTCTAAGGGGTCAGTGTATATATGTCAATCCAAGGATTGTCTACATGATTGCCTGAGGGGTCAGTGTATATGTCGATGCAAGGATTGTCTTCATGATTGTGTAAGGGGTCAGTGTATATGTCGATGCCATGATTGTGTACATGATTGTCTGAGGGGTCAGTGTATATGTCGATGCCATGATTGTGTACATGATTGTCTAAGGGATCAGTGTATATGTCAATGCCATGATTGTGTACATGATTGTCTAAGGGATCAGTGTATATGTCGATGCCATGATTGCCTACATGAGTGTCTAAGGGATCTGTGTATATGTCGATGCAAGGATTGTCGGAGGGGTCACAGTATTGTTGATGCAAAGATTGTCTAAGGTGTCAATGTGTATGTCAATGCAAGGATAGTTTTGTAACTACTGCGCATCTGCTGACACAAGATGTGTGGTTCACACCCTCAGCAGGAGCTGATAACACGGACTATAAATAGCAAAATATGTTGATCCTTATCACATCTGATATTTATAGATGCACTGCATTGTCTGCCTTTGACCTCATATCAACCATGTAGCCTCTTACAACGGGCATTATGAGCCATATCACCCTGGAGAATAGATAGCACGGGTATAAATAGCTAGCAGATAACAGGCAGATGTGTTTGTCTTAATAATAATAATAATAATAATAATAATAAAAAAAATAAAAATAATAAAAACAAAAATAATAAAAATAAAAATATAATTTTTTTTCTTAATTAATAACAGATGCACTGCATTGTCTGCTGTGACCTCATGTCAACCAACAGGCATTAACCATGTCGCCCTGGAGAATAGATTGCAGGGATATAAATAGCTAGCAGATAACAGGCAGATGTGTTTGTGTTGATAATATGAAGAGGTGTCGTGGAAAATGTAAATATTAAATTCTTTGGAATGGGCCTGTATACAGCCTCAGACCTATCCAGGCCAACAAACCCTGACCTTGTCCTTTTTGATAAATCCAATGGAATCTGATATATCATTGAATTCTCTGTCCATTTTGACACTAATGTGATTGACAAGATTGAGGAAAAACATGGCAAATATGCAGACCTCGCTTTCGAAATGTCACGCTTGCATCCCAAGTACCAAGTTGTCCGACTCCCCATTGTTCTCGGTGCCTTAGGTTTGGTACCTCCCAAATTTGTTGACTGACATTGGGAGAGTACCCGGGTTTGCTACCAGGAATACAGCACAATCTGAAAAATCTTTGGGTGGGTTTGACTAGACAGCGCTTCCTGGGAGAAGTCCCATTCACTGTCTGGGCTGCGTGTAGAGGGGGCAAGGGCTAGGCCACCTACTCTACATCTCTAATCACTACTACTTATGGTTGCTAGGCTACTCTACATCACTACTACTTATGGTTGCTAGGCTACTCAGCATCACTAATCACTACTACTTATGGTTGCTAGGCTACTCAACATCACTAATCACTACTACTTATGGTTGCTAGGCTACTCTACATCACTACTACTTATGGTTGCTAGGCTACTCAACATCACTAATCACTACTACTTATGGTTGCTAGGCTACTCAACATCACTACTGCTTATGGTTGCTTGGCTACTCAACACTACTACTGATGATTACTAGGCTATGCACACTACTACTTATGGTTGCTAGGCTACTCAACATCACTAATCACTACTACTTATGGTTGCTAGGCTACTCAACATCACTACTGCTTATGGTTGCTTGGCTACTCAACACTACTACTGATGATTACTAGGCTATGCACACTACTACTTATGGTTGCTAGGCTACTCAACATTACTACTTGTGGTTGCTAGGCTTAAAGGTTCAATCTTTTCCTTCATGTTCAATGTTTTTGGCCTGGGAATTATGTATTTTCTTGTTAATTAACCAGGTAACAGTAAAATAAAATTATGACCAAGTTGAAATGTTGAAGCATGCTATTCTACATCTTGTTCATCGTAACCTGTTATTTTAAGCCTGAACTGAAAATGTGTTGGTATTAGAAATAAGACAAACCAGTGATTGATATTATAGGAACTATCCACGTTTGCCAGGTACGCTGACTCACTTTAAACCAAGTGAGCCGGGTTGCTAGGAGGCCTGAAAATTGCGATACAGGTATCTGTCTGTATTGTGATATGTATTGCGATATGTTGGGTGAAAAAATGTTTGACAGGTTTGACACAGAGTGTACATCCTATTTTCTACATGTATACTGAGATCAAACAAATAAAAATGTGGTTCCGATTACAGCAATATAAAAATTAGGGGAGGTAAGTGGGGATTGTTTATTTATCTTTTTATGATGTATACATGGTATAGCTCCATTAGGACAACAAAGATTGTAGAGCTGAATGCTATGCTCTGTGTCGTCCTAAATCATGCATTTTATCACTTCATGACATGTATCTGTATCTTCTGGGAAGTTAGGGTTTATTTGAAAAAAACAAACAAAAAATTTAAGGTGTGACAGGTAAATGTCTTCATTTGTATTGTGTCTTAAAGCTTCAACAACTCTTAATAAATTTGCGTTTGAAAATTTGTATTTCAAATTTATATTTTATGATTTTATATTTGTAAATTTAAAATTTAATGACATTAGTTTAAAATAATGCATTTTATTTTGTACATACACTACTTCTCACCATGCTCACCTTTTTTTTTAATCTTTTGAAATGTTGGCCTCAAACATTGATGTTCAACCAAGTAGCCATATGGCTACAAATTCTTTTTTCCAATTAGCCACTGGATTAGGAATTAAATTTATTCAGGCCAATATATAATTTGAAATTTGAAATTGTCTTTAAACCATTTTTTAAGTACTTTTAAGACATTCCTTTAAGGGAGTCCTACATTTGTTACTCGGACACCAAGCACTGGGTGATCATGCCCACTCACCCAGTCGTCTAAGGCGCCCCGATTCGCTGTGCAGAGTTGCGTCCCTTGGCCACGCCAGAAACCTATGATTGTGGGTTCGAATCCCGGTTCGCCCCGATTATGTTTCTAGGTTTGTCAGCACCATGCCCGTGCTCGTGGGTTTCACCGAAGTGGTAAATGTCTGAGACCTGCATCACTTCGGGCTTTCCTCCCACATTAAGCTGACACGCTACGATATAACTGGAATACTGTTAAAGTGGCGTTAAACCCAACTCACTCACTCACTCATGCCCACTCAGTAGTTGAATTACCCGTGAAGATCCGTTGTCATCATCATCTGATCATCAGCATCATCATCAGCATCACGGTCATGCACCTTTGTTGTCGACCCGTGAAGATCCGGGGTAGAACTTCAGCAATCCATGCTTGCCCTAAAAGGCGACTGTGCTTGTCGTAAGGGGCGACTAACGGTGATCAGACTCACTGACTTGGTTGATGCATGTCATAGTATCCCAATTGCTTGGACCGATGCTCATGATGTTAGTCACTGGATTGTCTGGTCCAGACTGGATTATTTACAGGCCACCGTCATACAGCTGGAACATTCCTGAGTGCGACGTTAAACAACAAACAAAACAAGAAACTGTGGTTGAATAGTGTCCAGTTATTTGCGTGACACCTTGTGTTTATGTAGTTTATTGAAAACCTGGTAGCTGTGTATGTGAATGATGCCATGGTTGACGACACAGTTAACCCCTTATCTTACAGTAGCCTCGATAATGAAAGATGATTTATGTTTTGATATGCCCCCTTGTATATTATCATGTGTAGACGCAAAAGAGCAGACGATGTCTTGGGTGGAGTTTTCCCCATCAGTAATACCTATGCCACTGTTATTTTCAGGTGGCCATTAAGATTATTGATAAGACCCAGCTGGATGAGGCAAACTTGAAGAAGGTCTACCGTGAAGTTCAGATCATGAAACTCCTGTCACATCCCCACATCATCAAGCTCTACCAGGTGAGGGATGTGTGCTGTCACTCTGTCCTGCAGCTGTGTGCTGTCACTCTGTCCTACAACTGTGTGCTGTCACTCTGTCCTGCAGCTGTATGCTGTCATTCTGTCCTACAGCTGTGTGCTGTCACTCTGTCCTACAGCCCTGTGCTGTCACTCTGTCCTGCAGCTGTGTGCTGTCACTCTGTCCTGCAGCTGTGTGCTGTCACTCTGTCCTGCAGCTGTGTGCTGTCACTCTGTCCTGCAGCTGTGTGCTGTCACTCTGTCCTGCAGCTGTGTGCTGTCACTGTCCTACAACTGTGTGCTGTCACTCTGTCCTGCAGCTGTGTGCTGTCACTCTGTGCTACAGCTGTGTGCTGTCACTCTGTCCTACAGCCGTGTGCTGTCATTCTGTCCTACAGCTGTGTGCTGTAACTCTGTCCTGCAGCTGTGTGCTGTCACTCTGTCCTACAGCTGTGTGCTGTAACTCTGTCCTGCAGCTGTGTGCTGTCACTCTGTCCTGCAGCTGTGTGCTGTCACTCTGTCCTACAGCTTTGTGCTGTCACTGTCCTGCAGCTGTGTGCTGTCACTCTGTCCTGCAGCTGTGTGCTGTCACTCTGTCCTGCAGCTGTGTGCTGTCACTCTGTCCTACAGCTGTGTGCTGTCACTGTCCTACAACTGTGTAGTACAACTGTGTGATACAACTGGGTGATACAACTGTGTGATACAACTGTGTAATACAGCTGTGTGATACAACTGTGTGATACAACTGTGTGATACAACTGTGTAGTACAACTGTGTGATGCAACTGTGTATACAACTTTGGATACAAATGTGTGGTACAGCTGTGTAGTACAACTGTGTGATACATATAGAATACTAAACGAGCTCCCGTGTAATACCAATTTTATGAAACGCGAAAGCGAGTCAGATACCACAACTATTCACGAGTTTCATAAAATTGGTTTTACACGGGAGCGAGTTTAGTATTTTATTTATTACTGGCCATTTATAACGTTTTTAAAATTATACTGTTGAGTGTGAATAGGCTGACACCTACACGATCCACGGCATAATCCAACTGAGTTTAACACAGTAATACTTCAAAAACGTCAAAAGTATAAACGTATGAATTTAATACCATCCAACGGTCCACCTTTAGAATTCAGGCGTCCGTTCCACAAAATTATCGTTGCATTAAGGTTATCGCAACTCATATACTTTAACTTAGACCAACGACTGTCGTCGCGCTACCGTATGATCGCCTTGTGGAACGGGGCCTTGCACCTCAAAGTTTACAAGCACGTCACAATACCCGATGACGTAATTTGTGGAATTTTGTTGCAAGATCCTTCGGCGAAACAATGCCATGTGACGTCAACCTAGCAGCAAGGTTGCTGGGGTCATCGAGTGTGCATAAGCTCCTCTCAGTGATCTATCATCTCCACACGCAATGTCGTTGAATAAGCCAAGGGATGTTGAGAGCTTTCAATATTTGTTCGTGAAACATGTTCCGAGAGTACATAAGCACGCGTTTTGGTATTACACAATGTGTAATACAGCTGTATGTTTATTAAACGGGTGATCTCTTCACGGGCAAGTAATAAAACTGTAGTATGCTTGTTATATAACTGTGATACAACTGAGTAGTAAGACTGTGATACGCCTGTGTGATACACTTTTGTGATATGCCTTTGTGATAAATCTCTGTGATTCGCCTGTGTGATATGCCTTTATTATATGCCTGCGTGATAAATCTCTGTGAAATGACTGTTATATACCTGTGTGATACACCTGTGTGATACACCTGTGTGATGTGTGTGTGGAGTATGTAATACTAAGACGTATCAGGAGACGTGTAAAGGGGCGGGCGGAGTAAGTCCAAGCACCCTGACTCACCAGCTGACTATACTGTCACAACTACTTTCAGGTGATGGAGACTAAGAACATGCTGTATTTGGTGTCGGAGTACGCACCCAATGGGGAGATTTTTGGTGAGTAGAACTGTAGTAGTGCACGTACAATGGAGATGGTGTTGAAGTATGGATTGTTTCCACATGGTCCTATTGGATGCACAATATTGTGACACTACGCATGACGATAATAGAGGCAACTAATTAACACTGTGGTCCAATGGGTGCCAAGACTTAGTTACGGCCCTGGAAAGTAGCGTGCATGTTTGACGGTCCATGTCTGTTTTTCTAACTCTGTCGATGAAGGAAAGTCCCATCTATACTCAGGGCCATCTTCCCGAGGCTAGGGAGTTAACTGACTTTAAAAGTCCAGCTTCCACCCTTGCCAAACTAGGCTGGAATTCCTGGGCTTGATCGTAGCACCACCAGGGGATATGACGAGTTACATCCCTTCTATGTTCCTCCTATTGACCAATCAGATTCCACCTCTCATATCATTTGCATTTGCTGCAATCAAAACGGTGGGAGCCCAGTAGAGACGGTCTGATCGATAATCAAAATATATATTGTGATAAGACTTTGATTAAAAACTTTGATTAAAAACATGAAAAGATTTGGAAAGTATCTCTTGTGGTCGAGGTGGCTTTACACATGCTTTGCAAATCCTGTAATCGACCGAAATCTGCATGGTAGTTTACGATTTTGTGACGCGATTTTGTTTGAACTATGCACAGACTCGTAACTCCAGAATTCCAGCCTAGTTCGGCAAGGGTTGAAACTGGACTTCCATTGTCAGTTAAGTCCCTTGCCTCAGGAAGATGACTCAGGGCCTGGTTACGCAATACTTCTTTAACATGGAACCCCAACGTGTCAAGTAGGACAGATGGCAATGTGACTGAAAACCTTCTTTTGCCTTTGTTTTGTATACTCCCCAGGGGGTTGAGAATGAAATTTGAGCGCACACTGATCCTACCACCAGGGTAATATAAACGTAGCACCATGAACTACGCTTTGTGAACATTGCTCACGATCTTTGTTTTGGGTATAGGTGAGCTTCATTGATCACAATCTTCATTGCTCATGATCTTTGTTGTGGGTTTAGGTGAGCTTCAGTGCTCTTTGTTGTATATGCTGCACTCTCTGAAAGATGTTGATGTTAAAGGGAGCCTGTGTAGATGTTTAGGGGTTAAAATGGATGAGAACATTGGACACCACGTTGAAACTTTGACACTGTGTTAAAACCTTTGACGCCATGAGGGGCGGTCGGGTAGCCTAGTGGTTAAAGCGTTCGCTCATCATGCCGAAGACCTGGGTTCGATTCCTGACATGGGTACATTGTGTGAAGCCCATTTCTGGTGTCCCCCGCAATGATATCACTGGAATATTGCTAAAAGCGGCGTAAAACCATACTCACTCACTTTGACGCCATGATGAAACCTTTGACATTGTATTGAAGCCTTTGACACATTGTGGAAACCTTGGACACAATGTTGAAACCTTGGACACTGTATTGAAACCTTGGACACTGTGTTGAAGCCTTTGACACAATGTTGAAACCTTGAACACTGTATTGAAACCTTGGACACTGTGTTGAAGCCTTTGACACTGTATTGAAACCTTGGACACTGTGTTGAAGCCTTTGACACATTGTGGAAACCTTGGACACAATGTTGAAACCTTGGACACTGTGTTGAAACCTTTGACACAATGTTGAAACCTTGGACACTGTATTGAAACCTTTGACACAATGTTGAAACCTTTGACACTATGTTGAAACCTTTGACACTGTATTGAAACCTTTGACACTGTTGAAACCTTTGACACTGTGTTGAAGCCTTTGACACTATGTTGAAACCTTTGACACTGTATTGAAACCTTTGACACAATGTTGAAACCTTGGACACTGTATTGAAACCTTTGACACTGTGTTGAAACCTTTGACACTGTGTTGAAGCCTTTTACACTATGTTGAAACCTTTGACACTGTATTGAAACCTTTGACACTGTATTGAAACCTTTGACACTGTATTGAAACCTTTGACACAATGTTGAAACCTTGGACACTGTATTGAAACCTTTGACACAATGTTGAAACCTTGGACACTGTATTGAAACCTTTGACACTGTGTTGAAGCCTTTGACACAATGTTGAAACCTTGGACACTGTATTGAAACCTTTGACACTGTGTTGAAGCCTTTGACACTATGTTGAAGCCTTTGACACTGTGTTGAAGCCTTTGACACTGTGTTGAAACCTTTGGCACTGTGTTGAAGCCTTTGACACTATGTTGAAGCCTTTGACACTGTATTGAAACCTTTGACACTGTGTTGAAACCTTTGACACTGTGTTGAAACCTTTGACACTGTGTTGAAGGCTTTGACACTGTGTTAAAGCCTTTGACACTATGTTGAAACCTTTGACACTGTGTTGAAACGTTTGACACTGTGTTAAAGCCTTTGACACTGTGTTGAAACCTTTGACACTATGTTGAAACCTTTGACACAATGTTGAAGCCTTTGACACTGTGTTGAAGCCTTTGACACTATGTTGAAGCCTTTGACACTATGTTGAAACCTTTGACACTGTGTTGAAACGTTTGACACTGTGTTGAAACCTTTGACACTGTGTTGAAGCCTTTGACACCATGATGAAGCCTTTGACACTGTATTGAAACCTTGGACACTATGTTGAAATCTTTGACACCATCGGGGCAGAAAATAGGTCTTCAGCAACCCATGTTTGTCGTAAGGCGACTAACAGGATCGGGTGGCCAGGCTTGCTGACTTGGTTGATGCATGTCATCATATCCCATTTCCATGGATGGATGCTCATGATGTCAATCACTGGATTGTTGGTCCAGACTCATATTTACAAACCGCCATATAGCTGGAATATTGCTGAGCGTGGTGTTAAACAACAAACAAACACGCAATCAAAGAAGGTGGAATGTTGCTGAGTGCAGTGTTAAACAACAAACAAACAATCAAAGAAAGTAGAATGTTGCTGAGTGCAGTGTTAAACAACAAACAAACAATCAAAGAAAGTGGAATGTTGCTGAGTGCAGTGTTAAACAACAAACAATCAATCAAAGAAAGTAGAATGTTGCTGAGTGCAGTGTTAAACAACAAACAAACAATCAAAGAAGGTGGAATGTTGCTGAGTGCAGTGTTAAACAACAAACAAACAATCAAAGAAAGTAGAATGTTGCTGAGTGCAGTGTTAAACAACAAACAAACAATCAAAGAAGGTGGAATGTTGCTGAGTGCAGTGTTAAACAACAAACAAACAATCAAAGTAAGTAGAATGTTGCTGAGTGCAGTGTTAAAAAACAAACAAGCAATCAAAGAAAGTGGAATGTTGCTGAGTGCAGTGTTAAACAACAAACAAACAATCAAAGAAAGTAGAATGTTGCTGAGTGCAGTGTTAAACAACAAACAAACCATCAAAGAAGGTGGAATGTTGCTGAGTGCAGTGTTAAACAACAATCAAAGAATCAAAGAAGGTGGAATGTTGCTGAGTGCAGTGTTAAACAACAAACAAACCATCAAAGAAAGTGGAATGTTGCTGAATGCAGTGTTAAACAACAAACAAACCATCAAAGAAAGTAGAATGTTGCTGAGTGCAGTGTTAAACAACAAACAATCAATCAAAGAAAGTAGAATGTTGCTGAGTGCAGTGTTAAACAACAAACAAACAATCAAAGAAAGTAGAATGTTGCTGAGTGCAGTGTTAAACAACAAACAATCAATCAAAGAAAGTAGAATGTTGCTGAGTGCAGTGTTAAACAACAAACAAACAAACAAACCATCAAAGAAAGTTGAATGTTGCTGAGTGCAGTGTTAAACAACAAACAAACAATCAAAGAAAGTAGAATGTTGCTGAGTGCAGTGTTAAACAACAAACAAACAATCAAAGAAGGTGGAATGTTGCTGAGTGCAGTGTTAAACAACAAACAAACAATCAAAGAAAGTAGAATGTTGCTGAGTGCAGTGTTAAACAACAAACAAACAATCAAAGAAAGTGGAATGTTGCTGAGTGCAGTGTTAAACAACAAACAAACCATCAAAGAAAGTAGAATGTTGCTGAGTGCAGTGTTAAACAACAAACAAACCATTAAAGAAAGTGGAATGTTGCTGAGTGCAGTGTTAAACAACAAACAAACAATCAAAGAAAGTAGAATGTTGCTGAGTGCAGTGTTAAACAACAAACAAACCATCAAAGAAAGTGGAATGTTGCTGAGTGCAGTGTTAAACAACAAACAAACAATCAAAGAAGGTGGAATGTTGCTGAGTGCAGTGTTAAACAACAAACAAACCATCAAAGAAAGTGGAATGTTGCTGAATGCAGTGTTAAACAACAAACAAACCATCAAAGAAAGTGGAATGTTGCTGAGTGCAGTGTTAAACAACAAACAAACAATCAAAGAAGGTGGAATTTTGCTGAGTGCAGTGTTAAACAACAAACAAACAATCAAAGAAGGTGGAATGTTGCTGAGTGCAGTGTTGAACAACAAACAAACAATCAAAGAAGGTGGAATGTTGCTGAGTGCAGTGTTAAACAACAAACAAACAATCAAAGAAGGTGGAATGTTGCTGAGTGCAGTGTTAAACAACAAACAAACAATCAAAGAAAGTGGAATGTTGCTGAGTGCAGTGTTAAACAACAAACAAACAATCAAAGAAGGTGGAATGTTGCTGAGTGCAGTGTTAAACAACAATCAAAGAATCAAAGAAGGTGGAATGTTGCTGAGTGCAGTGTTAAACAACAAACAAACCATCAAAGAAAGTGGAATGTTGCTGAGTGCAGTGTTAAACAACAAACAAACAATCAAAGAAGGTGGAATGTTGCTGAGTGCAGTGTTAAACAACAAACAAACAATCAAAGAAAGTAGAATGTTGCTGAGTGCAGTGTTAAAAAACAAACAAACAATCAAAGAAAGTTGAATGTTGCTGAGTGCAGTGTTAAACAACAAACAAACAATCAATGAAAGTAGAATGTTGCTGAGTGCAGTGTTAAACAACAAACAAACAAACAATCAAAGAAAGTTGAATGTTGCTGAGTGCAGTGTTAAACAACAAAC